TCATTACAGAAGAAAAAGGACTGTTCTCCGAATTCGGCATCAACATACAGTTCGTGATCTTCACGCAAGTTCTCCGGATTCTCATCGTCTAATGCCGGAATGGAAACATCATGCCACTCATCGTGATCACGTCTAACCTTTGACTGATTCACACGTATCACTGCCTTACCAGTATTGGCTTGAACCATAGCTCCTTCTTGTCCAAGTACTGTGGCACGAACCCAACGTCCTTTATCCTTGAACTTTGATGAATCCTGAGTCCAAACAAAAACCTTCTCTCCTTGGAAATAAGGACCGTCACTTGGCATAGTCCTTCTCGCAAGATCTGCTCGAAGGTCCTGAGCTTGTCGTGCTTCTTGATGAGCTCTCAAAGCCACACGTTGTAGTTCCAAATTTGTACGATCTTGTGCGGCGGCATTAGCTGACAATTGCTCAGGGCTTGCGGTCTCAAGGTCAAAAAGATCTGGTGGACGTCTTCCAGTTGCTATCTCTATTGGTGAATATCCACTGATAGTCAACTGACAATTTCTTGCCCAAACTACCTTCTTGACCACTTCTCTGACCGTAACACCACGAAAACGTGGGTCATCCAGATCTACCTTCATAACATGCCACATACGTTTGAACAAACGTACAGCTGTCTCTGCTCGGTTCGGCCAAGGAGTTCTTGGCCCACAAGGACATTGTTGTATACCATGGAACCTGTAGTATTCAACAAAAGCATCGGTGAAAAAGGCTTCGTCTCCTACGATGGCCTTTGGAACACAGTTGTTCTCATCAGACCATTGCCTCAATGCTTGGATGGTGGTTTGATCTATGAGGTCTTTCTGTGCCGTAGCCCAGAGAAGATTTGTGGCACCATCAAGAACAAGTAGAATGATATACTTGTTCTTGTGAAGTTCAACCTCACAATGATCAGCAAAAACAACATCACCAAAACATGAAGCTCTAATACCGGAGACTCTGGCTCGTGGCGGAGGTGCCACTGAAGTGTTACAAACACGGCAGTTCCTGACAACTGATTCATACTTCTCTAAAACAGAGTCAGGAAGCTTCAACATAGAAACACGTCTACGAAACTGAGTAGGACTCATATGGTAGTGCTTCACATGAAGCTTATAAAGCTCTACCTTGTCCTCCAGTCTCTGTAACATCTTCCTATATGCCGGTGTCATTGCAACAACTTCACTACCAGGTAATGGGATTGAAATCCGCCTAGGCTCAAGAGCGCCATCACCTGGTTCAAGTGGTTCATGTTTATCACTTGATAGTCCTTTTGATGCTTTAGGAATTTCTACAAGTTCACCTTCTGGCCTCTCAGGTGGTTCTGAGGGAGCATACTCCTCAAGATCATCACCCTTTAAATCATTCTGAGGCTCAGATGGTTTTGACTTGTGTCCTTTCCAAAATGGATCAAAACCCTTGGAAGTATACCGAAACCTTGGCGGCACGGGCTTTTCCGCGGCACTGGATGGTGCACCTTCCTTCTCTGATGAGAAGCCTGGTTCCCTGTCCTTTGCAATGGGAACCTTCTCTGAGGAGGAGCGCACCACTGCATCGGGATCACCAATGCCACGGTGCTCAATGCCAGCCTTCCTGATCTTTAGATCTGGAATTTTGGCATCTGGCTTAAATTTAAAAATTGTTCTACCACGCCATTCATAGCCAAGTTGTAGGTCCTTCCATTTTGCCTTGCGCCAATCATCTGTCTTCTTGATTTCTTCTCCTCCTGCTTTCTTCTTGATGATTGTCAGTCGCAAGTCTTCCAGCAAGTCAGTGTCTACAGGACAGGACTTAGTTGCTGGGAAAAGAATTTTCCTGTAATCCTTGTGGTGACGTATCAGTTCTCTCTTGTGAACATCTACTTCCCAGAAATCAACCACAGGATATGCATGCTCAGCTTCACCTTCATCACTATTGTGTTCAACAGAAATATGGCCATATTCATAGTGAGTGAGGTGAGAGTAAAAACTCTTCTCACGCTGAGTCTGCCAACGCACGTCAGACAGATACCATGCAATATCTTGGAAGTCCAACGCAAGATGAGTACTGGCTGCAACCTTCAACTCCAAAAATTTGATACCAAGAGGCACCGATGTCAGATAAGCATGTTGAGGTGTCAGCTTGAGTTCAAAGCCTAAGTTCCTCATCTGTGGCAAGCTCATAAGCAAAGGGACTTCTCCTTCTTCCACTATGTCGAACTCTGTATGGTGGATCGTCCATGCACGATCATACATATAAATCACCAGTTTCTGAGAGCAAGTAGCCTTCTGGGAATTGGCAAAGTAAAACTTGCTCTTGGTAGACTCAAAAGAGTACCATAATCCACAATCTGGGTGATTGTCGACATAGTTGCAAAAATGGTCGACTGCTCGCCTTGATCCCATAGCTCTAGTGCATCCAATGTCCAGGATTGCAATAGTTGGCGGGAAGCGATTCTCAGTCAAAAATGAAATAGCCTGCATCTCCTTCACTTCTTCCTCAGCGCTCATAAGCGCAAAGCCATCAGCGCTCATAAGCGCAAAGCCATCAGGAGCCTTTGTGAGCATCTCCTTTGACAAAGAGTACCTCACAGGGGCACTCATGTCATCGAAGATCGTCTCACCATTGTTGACCACGCAGTCAGCTTCATCTTGACATGAGGTCATCATGCCTGACAGCAAGTCCACCTCACTGTCATGGACTTCAGCTGCTGCTGTCACACAATGTGCAAAGAAACCTTGTTGACCTCCTGATGCTTGTGAAGTTCTTGAAGGTGCAGGTAAAGAACGTGGCTGTTGTTGATTTGCATAGTTTGCATCTTGTTTGCCATCTCCTTTATCCTTTCCTTTTCCTTTCTTGCCTTTTCTCTTGCCTTTTCCTTTTCCCTTGTGGGAAAACCATGCTTCTTCAAGCTGTTGCCAAAAGTCATTGGCATCATCATATTCTCCTTGAAGATAGTCATTCATATCCTCGGCAAGAATGGCATCATATGCTCCTTGGGTTGACTCCCAAGTGTCCTCATAAGGATTCTCTTCAAGGTATTCATCTGGAAAAGTTGTCTGTTGCTCATCAGCAAAATGGCCTTTACCTCGTCTCTTTCCTTTTCCTTTTCCACGAGGTCTGAAGAATCTGCGGCCTGATCTTCCTTTTCCTTTTCCTTTCCTTCTACCTTTTCCTTTGCCTTTTCTGGCTCTTCTTCCTTGGAATCTCCTTTGGAACCATGAGAAGTTTTGATCATCATATACCCAAAAGACATCGTCCAGGGCATCTAAAAATCCTTCTGTTCCATCTTCTTCATCTTCGGCCCAATAGCCAAATGTACCATCGAGTTCTCCTTCGTCTAGTACGAGAAATGATCTTCTACCTCCAGCACCTGTCGGCTGCATCAATGGATTGTCTACTGAAGTCTTTGTCGTGCAGAACATCTCGATGAAAACTGTCCTCAGCTCTGTTGTAGTGTATTGCTGCAGGTACCTGCCACGATGAGTCATCAACGAAGTCAAAGTGTTTCGCTGGTCCTGAGACAAATCTGCAAGGGACAGCATGAGTAGGGCAATGAGATTCTCTCCTAAAGGAAAATCATTCTGATGAAGAATTCTCATATTGCCATTGACATTCTGCATGATTTCCTGAATCCTTTCTGCCGTTGGTGCTACTCCAGTCAACGCTGCATCTGCCTGCATCTGAGCAAGGACTTGGGGATGTGCTTGAGTGACTGGTTCTAACATGTCCATCCAACTGCTCATAAGCCTTTGGAGTAAAATCTGGAATCTTGTCATCCATTTCATCATGTCGGCTGATCCTCGATTGAATCGCACGAATTGCATAAACCTGTATAGGAACACATTGGTTGATCCTTTCACGAAATATGGTCGTAGTACTCGTTTGAAGTAATCTACTCCTGCTCCTGGTGGCTCATTAGCCTTCAATGAATCTCTGTCTAATACACGTTTGTATACTGCTGCTTCTCCTTCTAATCTGTTTCTCAAAGCTGGTCCTCTCTTCTCATCTTCCAGCTCGGTGATATCACACCAATCGTCTATGGCATCCTCATAGGAAAACCATGAAGTCTTTCCATCATAAGATGGGGGCACCTTTGTAGTGACCTGTGTTGTCATTGCTATTGCTGCTGGTTCTCTTCTCACATGCCTATTCACGTAGGCTGCTGGCTCATAAGCCACATCCGCATCAGGCTCTTCCCAGTCGTCAATCCAATCCATGGCCGTTTGCCCACAAGCAATTCTATGCCTAGGAAAGGAGCTCACCTGGGTCTTCCAGGATCACTGCTCCGCTACCACTGAAAGAGTGACTAGGGCGTACACGGTAGAGGTGCAGACCGCTAGTGTCTTTTATGTGCAGAGTCTTATCCTCTTGCTCTTTAGGTCCATTGACCCTCTCTTGAGCCTTGAAGCAGTCAAGCATGGACACACTATATCAGCTGTTGGAGTGGAACCCTGTACAGGTAGGCTCTACTTTTCAGGGGGGGGGTCTTCGACCTGAATAATCAGGGGTTAGGATTTGCACCCGGTCGAAAGAAACCTTGCTATCGCAAGAGTAACTCCAGCTAGCTTCGCTAGCTTTCGTGAAAAGAATCAGATAGAGATCATAGAGATCCACTCATGATTCCGGAACATGGTATCATAGATCAGAATCATAGCTATCAGAATCATACCAGAATCCATACTCTTTTGGTCACGCATGGTCACAGAACACGAGCCCCACACTGCAGACATCTGATTTCAGATCATGGATCCCGGAACAACTCCTTTTGCGGCTCGTCTGACGGTCACACATGAGGCTCGTCTGACGGTCTGAGTCTTGCAGAACATCGCCGTGCGCAAGGCGAACAGAACCGCCTGACCCAAACATGGAGATGTTCAGGGCCTCAGGGTCCAGGTTTTCTTGGTATAATTATATACATGCATATATTTACAGGTTAATTGGGACTCAAAACAGAGCCATACAGTGCCCTAAGCTCCGGAATCGCGCTCCGAACTACGACCCCTGAGGCGTCACGCCGAAAACGCCTCGACCCACCGCGAGGTAGTCCTGAAGTCGTCGGTCAACGTGTGTTCGCGAAGAACAAGACTTTTGCAGTGCCATCCTTTTCGACTTATATAAAACCAAGGAAGGATGAACATCTTCCATAGCTGCAGAGATCTGCAGAGATCTGCAGAGTGTTCATATTAGACAAATACTATCAAACACTTCACGGTGTTGACCGATTTCCCATGAACACCAAATCGCAAGACACCATGACATCGTTCAGCAACACCAAGGCCCCCGGTTCCCCCCCCCGGTTCCCCACCGGTTCACCCTTCAAACATCTTCAAACCGACCGACTCCACGTCTCGAGCCGCGCGGAGTTCGGTCCGCTAAGGTGGGTGGGCTCCGCAGAGTTCGTTGCAGAAAGGAGGACTCCTTGCGAGGACTTCGGCAGCGAAACAGGTCACGGCAGCGAACAGAAGCTCGTTGGACCACCACTTGAGAGGAGGGAGACACGAAAGGAAATACATTGAGGTGGGTTTGGGTGAAGAAGCACAACGGCATTTGGTGGTCTCATGCGGACATACGGTTCAGTTTCTGCAAAAACAAATTCAATTAAGTTGAACATAAAACCGTTTGCGTTTGGTTAAGTGGTTTGGCGGCAGTTTTACCTGATGTTGACAAGCTCTTGCGTGGATCCGACAAAAACACCGGATTGGCTGGACATCTGCAAGTCTTTGCACATGTTGCTACTATGAAATCAACTTTCAGATTCGCTACCAGTCTATAAGAGCAATACGGGATCTGATTGAAACACATGTTCCTGGATACATTTTTTGTGGCCCAGTGTAAAATCGGGTACTAAAATGACATTTCGGAGTGTTTGGAACATCAAATACGGATCCACAGTCATGGTGGTTTCGGGTCGTTTCAGGAGGTTCCCCGCGAACATGGAGTACCCACAGACTGGTGACTTGGTGTTTGGATGTTAACTTAAGTATCTTGCAGATGGTCAGACCACCATAGGAAAACGACATTTGCAGGTCCATTCACAATGGACCATGGCTCATTGTGGATTCGCCATGGTGGGGGTGCTCATCGATTCGCTTGGTTCGGCCGAACCCTGCCAAGCAGCACGAAATACGTTTTCTGTCAGGTGGAGCTATGGTGAAAACAACAAGTCATAATCCCGAGTACCTATTAAAAAACGGACCCCTATTTAAAAAAATCATGCCGGATCCCACTAAATTCGGTTTATATTTGGTTTTAAATTACCGCCCTTTCAAACCGCTACTAAACTACCAACATGGTCGATTTTGGGGGTAGTTTTTTTATTAGGTTCCAAAACCAACCGTAACTGCCCACCTCTGTCCGCCCTGTCTATCCACCATGACACGCCGCGCTTACACCAGCAGGCTTTCCTTCCCCCAATGGCACGGACTCACGCAAACGCACTTGCCACCGAGGTCATGCAACACCGCATGGCACAGCACAGTGACATCACCTTTCGAAAGCTTTAGCTGTTAGTCTACTGAAGAATCACTATTCTAGTGAAGGTTTTTGTAGGGGAAAAGGAAGACCCTTCGATCTGGAGCTTTTTTGCATTTTTGATATGAGTTTAATAAAGGATTTTATATAAAATTTTACGGATTTACTTTTTGGTTTTGAAGCTCTTCCCAGGTGACCCTATTTTGGGCCCCCCGATTTCAGGGACCCCCTATTAGAAAAAATGCGACCGAGGTTTCCTTATTAGGGGGGGGGGTACGTGTTTTTTATTAGGTGGACCGGATTACATGGCACCAATAGATGGAATGGTTTCTTGGAATCCACTAGTGGCGAGTCTCAAACTACAGGTTTCCTTAATAGCGGATGCTTTTGCAGAAAACAAACAAAGAAACATGTTGGAGATTTCAGTCTTCCTTCTTGGGGCATCTATGACCATTCGAAGGACCATGTTGGAGGTTCTCAGTCTTGCTTATTCATGAGTCTCTGACGAGGCTAGTCCGGGCTGCTCATTGAGCCGCCTCACGCATCACGCATGCTGTTGCACAAAACCTCTGTTTTCACCAGCTCGTTTGAGACTTTGTTGGTTTCAAACATTCAGGAGCTTACATAACTTAAAGTTTGTTACAAGTTATGTTTAACAGTGAGGGGATAGTTCCAAATCCAAATAAGTAACAGCTAAAGTTCTCTGAGTGTCACTGGCAAATTCTGAATTACTTAAGTTTAGACATGTTGCAACTAACTTGCAAGTGCCACAAGTAAAGGCCGACCACCAAGCAATAGATCGAGACAGTCCAAAAATCACGAGCAATACTGTAAATAGACGGTTCTTAAGAAGTTACCTATTTCCTTGAACTTGTCAGTTTGTATAAACTAACTAATGAACTTAGTAATAAATCCAACATGTTTAACTCTGATGAGTTGAGGTCCAACCATACAATTGACTCTGCTTGAACGACATGGGTTCTGTCAAAACAAACTAACAAGTGGAGGCGAAAGCTGAAGTAAGAATGACAGCGGACGAGCCAAAGTAAGCGTGAGAGTAAAGAGTGTGAGTTTGACTGTGAGTGAGAGAGAGAGAGAGTGAGAGAGTGAGAGAGTGAGTGAGTGAGTGAGTGAGTGAGTGGTGCAGAATTCTCTTGCAAATTCAGTAGGTCAATGTCCTTCGTGGCCTGGTGGGTTCAAGTTGTACCATGATCCTTTCCTACGTGTCTGCTATTCAACAAAAGAAACAACATTGATCACTCTTCAGGGATCTCAGCCACTGCCACCGTCCTTCTTCCCCTCCCCCTTCGGTCACAGCACAGGACCGAGACCTCAAACCTCCAGAAACACCGACTCCGTCGACATACTGGACCTGACACACCATGGGACTGGCACATTTACCATCATTTACCACGATACGCGGGGTGGTTCAAAAGGGCTCCATGTTCCAGCAGTCACAAAGGGGTGCTATCCATGGAGGTTAGGGGTGGCCATTATCCACTCACTTAGGGACTAAACACCACCTCTTTGTGACTCCTGGTTATTAAATATATGTCAGTCCCATGGAGTCTTTGGTCCACGGAGTCGTCTCCGTGCTCCCAGACCGTCTGCCTGACCGGCACCGTCAGACCTCCTCGCGTGGAAAAGCCTTCCCCTCCCGTCCTCTGGGGTGGGCATCCGCAAGGCTCGGATCAGCAGCCCCGATCGGCCGAGCTCCAAATGGAGATCCTGGCAGATCCGCGTTCGGTCACCGTTCCGAAAAAGGGAGTCAATATGAAGCCATCGATCTCTAAAATGGCGCCCCACAGCGCTGCTTCTCGGTTCAGGGTTGCCCTGATACATCAACATCATCAACAAAATCAACAATATTGGTTAAACATGGTTAAACATCATCAACAACAAGCACATAGATATGCGTAGACATGAAAGAACAGGACTTGACTAACTGAATGAACTACCAGGGCGTTTCCAGATCTGGATCTCCAACATTGGAAGTCGGGAACCTCCAGACCCCCACAGAGCCCGCTGCCTCATGTCTCAAGCCCCGCGCGAAGCCGGTGACCTCAGCCGCGAAGCCGGTCGGGTGTCCCAAAGGCCGACGAGAGGCTGGCTCCTCTGATCTCCCCAAACCACCAAGAGATGACAAGAGCTACTCTTGCATTAGGATTCCGAGATATGGACCATACTCTTGCAGGACAAGAGTGGTTTGAGATTCCGGAGCCCCCAAATTCATCCAAGAAAAACTTGGGCTTACAGTCTTCGATTGCAACGTTCCTGCCCCTTTCTGTTCTTACTGGCGTCCTCACAGTGAAACATGACCCAAACTAGAGCCTCTGATAAAACAAACACATATGCCGCAAATGAATGGTTGCTGCTCAAAAGAGAGAAATATGCTGGTCTCTAAAGTGCCGCGTGATGACCCCCCTGTAAGATTGCACACATGTTCTTCAAACCCTGATTTCTCTATGAAGTGAGAGGTACAGACAGTACAACCCCTCACTTACCCTACAAATGAATCGTTTTGTAAGCAGCCTTAACGTCGTGATTTCCTTGGCAAAGGATATCAAATAAGGGAGCTGTAAGTCCCTGTTGAACCTGATTGTATAGCTATAAGCTTGGACACGTGCGTCCTTCGACTGGGGCCATCGGCCACATAGGCGTCCTCCAAAGTCTGAGTCTCCAAGTCCAACGGAAGCCTGGCAGTTTTCCCGCCATTTTGGGGCGGTTTTGCTGCTGTTTCTGACCCGTTTTCAGCGAAACCCACATGCGTGGCCGGCCATGGGAAGTCCCACATTTGTGGAGAACTGAGGATCCACATCGACATCCTGTTTGAAAGGTCCAGACGGTTTTGGCATTCTGGATCTAGTGAATCTAGTTTGGGAAATGTACATGATGGTTCATGACTATATATGAAGTAGTGACGACATGTAGTCATTCATGTGGCTACTTTGGGTATCTACCATGTTTGGAACACTTCCAGCATGTCCTGTTATCCTCCAAGAAACGATGCTCACAAACTCCATGTCAGCTGTGTTCAAATCCACAGCCTCTTGAACAAAAAGCTTGGATCTCTGAACCACCATGTCATTTCCCTCCGTTTTCGCTCGTTTTCGCCCGCCCACACCGGGCCCAAACGCCTGATCTCAGCCAAACGGTCCAAGGCCCTGAAAAAAACAAGACAAACGGTCAACATCAGGGTCCAACCCTCAACAGACTGCAAAAGTTTAGAAGCATCTTGCTACGTAAGCATGTGCTTGGCTTTTATACTGGCCACCTGGACAAGCGAAATATACAAGGAATTCGGTCAAACATTTGGGGTTTCTCATCTTCATTCAATTTATGCATCTCTAGAATTTGTATAATTTAGAGAATGGGTGAACATCTGACTAGGATGTAAGGGTTTATAGATTCAACAACAATTTAAAACTTATTGGGCATGAAACATTCCACTAGAACATGTCAGACATGACGTACTCTAGATGATCAAGGAATATACCTTGAAGGTCATGGCTTTGATTTCCTCCGTTCAACTCACATCACAAAATCTCTCTATAGCATGGCAAACATGGGTAGTCTGAAAAGCTCCATTTTAAGCTATCTTAGATTTGTTGTTCAAAGCAAACGAGCGGTTTCTGACAAATCTTGCAAACCTAGGTTGCTTCAAAAATAAAGAAAAGGACTAGAGGCCTCAACGTCACAATGCACACTAGGATCTGAATAATAACTAAAAACATTTCACGCAACCTACCTTTTATGTGCTTTGCCAATAGTCTGGAAAGTGATCTTGCACCTGGTTAGCCTTTCCGATGCTTATCAAGCTTGGGGCAAATAAAACAAGTCCTCCCGGAATTGCCAGGTACGGAAAACCCAACCCTCTTCTCATATCATCCATAGCCATAAAAACCTGTTTTATAGAAATGGTAGGCGCTACCAACACATTAGAGACAGTCACTAGAAAATACTAAGGGACTCGAGTCAATCCATCTCCTAGGCGAAATCCTACCCGGGATCTATAAACAGCAATCGCAAAGAACTGCATTAAACATTTAAAAAGCTGTTTGAGCAAAATCACATCCTGGAGGAGGCTTGTCTGCTGATGATCTTCGGAACGGGTTCGTGACCCGCAAGCTGCAATGGCCGGGTCTCCGGACGTCTCCAAAGTGCTTGCGACAGTCTCCTGGAACCAAAGAGCCGAAGGCATTGAGTCATCTCACCTCCGACATTCACATGATTGATTCAACAATGGTCCTTTTAAACTGCCAAAGGAACCCCATGACCGGGACATATAGGGTCCATATAGGGTCTAGGGTCCTTATAGCCCACAGAACACGCATGCCGCCCCATAGGAGGAAGACCCCAAGCCCAAAGGTTTGGATGAAAGGAACAAACGATGACCATATTGGCAGGTGTCCGCCTACCACCCATTTGGGTAGATCCCCACGTGTCCACAAAATATGTTAATGGAGACCTCCCACTTCGACCCCATGGAAAGAAGCAACACAGTCCAAAACCCAATGGTTGAGGACCCCTTCTCTATTCTGTTATTTGAACACCCTATAGGCCTATAGGCTGCCTATAGGCTGCCTATAGGCCATCCGGCGATGGCTATAGAAAGGAGATTCAAGGAGATCGTGCAAACATGCCTCATGTCAAAATGAACATCTTGATTGATGTCCCATCCTTCACAAGGTCCACCTTTCCGATTCCCAACCAGGAGTGCAAGAACCCATGATCATTGATTGTGATAGTTTGGTCTTTGATTGTGATAGTTTCATTTTGTCTTGTTATGAGTCTTAAACCACATATCTGTAACTTATGGTGGAGTTCCTGAACACCCTGAGTTGCTTCATGATGGTGTTTCTTTGCAGCAATGTAAATTTGAGGTGTCAAGCCAAAACAGGGGGGTGGGTGGGTCGTGCTACTTAAAGCCTGACACTAGGCAAATTGGACCAAGTCATCAGTCAGAGAGTTTGGCATATATTTTTTACTGATCTAGGTTGTCTGATCTAGGTTGTAGCAACTTCTTTGTGAGCAAACAAAATGTAGACATTGTAAATTAAGTTAAATGTAGTTTGGCATTTTACATCCATGATCTTGCTTTGTGTGAGTTTCTTTGAGTAAATGTATTGATATGTTTGAATTGGAAAGTAAACAGAAGCAGTTTTGAGATGCACCTGTCTGTCAGGCCCTGTCAGGAATGAAGCAGTACTAAGGCCACTAAGGAACTAGACATCTTCAACTTCAAGAAGGCAATGTTTTTTAACTTTCCACCGAA